TCCGGAATCCAGCCTTTTGCTGACGCGCACCCTGAGACAGAAGGTGACAGTCAAGTCGTTGGCTTCCTTCTGTTCCCGTGAGAGAGCCAGGCTGAGTTCCCAGCTTCTGGCTTTGGCCCGGCCCAGCCTGTGCTCATGTCGGTGTTTGCAGAGTAAAGCATCAAATGGGAGCTCTGTCCCTCCTGTCCTCTGGCTCTGTGTCTGTGTGTGCCTCCCAAACGCAAGGAGGGATGTGCACCTCACGGGCTTGTTACGAGAATGCACAATCTGTCTCAAGTTATAGCTATAAAATCTAAACCTAAGTTATCTTCTTTAGATAACTTCCAATAACACTTCTTAAAATTTAAGACTAACAAGGAAAAAAACAGACCCAGCTAACTTTTGTTATCAGAGGGGAGTCTGTTTTGTTTGAAAGGCAGAGTCACAAAGAGAAGGGAAACGAGAGAGAGAATCTGCTATCTCCTGGTTCTCCCCCCAAATGTCTGACATGGCCACGCTAAAGCCAAGAACTTAGAAACCATCAGGTTCTGCCCCGTGGGTGGCAGGAACCCGAGCATTTGGTCCAGTCTCTGCTGTCCTCCCAGGTGGGTTAGCAGGGAGCTAGATGAGAAAAAATAAAGGAGCCAGAACTCAAACCAGTGTCCAAAGGGTCTGCTGGCTTTACGGGTGGTGTCTTAACTGTCTGTACCCGCCCCTAGAACTACTTAAATAATGCAGTGGAAGATGATTGTTCCATAGTGAAATTTGTAGGCTTCTAGGTTTTTTTTTTAAAGTAATTTTGTTTCTTATTATGTTCTTGAGATAGGGAAATTTAGCTGAGTGAAACCACTGTTGCAGATACTGTGCAGCACCATGTGTGTTGTTTCCTGTTTTTATATTAGGAGGTTGTGAAGTTTAATGTTCTTTCTTAATAGACTTCAGTAATTTCATCTTTCATCCTAATCAAATAGCCTGAAAAATATTAATTATTATTATTATGGTTAATAATCTACTTGGTATTAAGAACTGATCTGGACCCTCTATATGTAATATTTTCATTAATTGATAAATTCATTCTCAAATAAGGTAATTAAAGTCCATTTTTATTGTAATACTCTTAGGAACTCATTTCAGATGTTTTCTTTATTTAAAAGTTATCAGTACTATTTCATAAACAAAATACTTGTCTCTCTGTTGTGGATGTCCTCTTTGCTATTGTGAATTTCTAAGAATGTCCTGAATATCACAATTTTTGGAGAAGGAGTATTCATTCCATTTTCAAGAGAGTTTTGTTTTGTCTTTTCTTACTTTGATTCAGATTGTTATTTCCACTTTCCACATAGTGCCCCTATTGCTAATTGTGGCACTTTGCATTGCAAATTATTCTGGTTTATTCTGTATTATGTGAACCTCTTTCTCGTGCCATTGAGATTTGCTTTTTTTTTTGTATGATTAAAAAATCTCATGTAATTCTATAGGTTAGCTTTTTTGTAATGTTTAAAATTATTTTTTTATTTCCTGGGTAAATTTATGTTTTCCAGGCTTTGAACTTGAATTATACCACTTTTATACTGTCTAATCAATACCTATTCGTATTGATTTCTTTTCCTAAGACATTATGGCAAGTTTTAGTGACCAGGGGTTTTGATTATCTGCCTTTAAAATTTCGCTGATTAAAAAAATAATAATTTTGGCAAGCTTGTTAAATTGTACGAAGAACTCTGTATAGGATGGTAGAGCTAGGCATCTTCCTGAATTGCCTTGCAGTTGTTACTCCTGATAAACTGCATGAGGAAGAGGGACCATCAGCATTTACTTCTCAACCTTCTACGGAGAGGACTGAACATCCTGAAATGCTGATTTAGACAATGTTTAAAAACTGCTAGGGTGCACTTTGGTGTATGGCTGACTCTAGCTTAGTTAAATGTTTTGCAACATTATAACCTAGTTGGATTCAGCTCATCTTTTAAAGCAGTTGTCAGAAAAATATGGGCCAGCCTGGTAGAATGTATTAGCTCAATACATTGTCTCCATTTTATTATGAAGCTGCTGAGGAAGCTGTGATATACAGCACTGTCATTACAGATCTATTGTTAGGACGGTTCCACAGTCGTCTTTGCACTGCCATTAATTTATAGCAGTAAACAATATGTAGCCTTCCAACTGCAGCAAAGCAGAATCTTTTAATGAGGTGGATGTTATTACCACAATAAATCAGCGCTTTCGCGTAATGTATAATTCAATGTGTGTATTCCCACTGTAACTTCTCTGAGTAAGCTGATAGTGTATCATTGTCATTGCACAGCTCCACTGGTATGATTTTTTTTTAACCTTCTTTTATTTGGGGACTTCTTTTTTATATGCTTGCAAATAAATGTGGTGTGTCTTGATAGCTGTCCTAGAGAAGGTTTCAGAAACCAACTGTAACAATAAGAGCCAGAATCAATACTGGATTCTACCTACTTGGGTCTCTGCATGAGGCCATTTTTTTTTCAGGCACTGGTGAAATCGATCCTAATTGGTTTTAGCATTATATTCAAGAAATGTGATTCTGTAACTATTGATTGGGGGGGGGTACTCATTTGGAGAGTAATAAAAATAGGAGCAAATAAAGTGAGTACTGTGAGTACTTAATATGCTGCAGAACTATACAAAAGGAGCCTTGATTCTATTTTTAATTCATATAATTTGTCTTCCAGTGATTTTATTTCTTCGTTCTTTCCTTTTGCCTTGCTTAGTCCTCAGGGACAGCAGGTAAAATAGGCTTAAAGCTTTTCCAAAATGGTTCTGCAACAAAGAAAGGAGCGGAGAGGCGGTTCTTTTCTTTACTGGTGTACATTTAGTAAATCAGGTGTATACAGGAACTAATGTGTGGAAATAAGGTATTTTAACATTAGTGACAGTAACTTGAAATGGCAGTCAACTAAATCTTTTTTTAAAATCTGCATCTAAATGTTGATGATGATTTTGAATATCATTGATTATTTTTAAATCTTTGAAAGAGGGTGGTTTCAAAGATAAATAGAAGTTTTGGGGAGAAAAAAAAATAGTTAACTGATAGCCAGAATGATAAATTGTGCTTATAAAATCATATAATATGAGAAGGTAAAAAACTGGTCTGAACATTGTTTGATTTTTTTCAGTAGAATACGTCTGAATACATGGCAGAATTAATGATTTTTTTCCTATAGTTTAACATTTTTGCCATAAATCGGTATATCTCTTATGAATGAGGAGTGACTGACTCCTAGAATTTCACAAAAAATGTAATGCAAAAGACCGTTCTGTGTTTTATTATGTAATGTTGCAATGTAAATTTTTTCCCCAATGAGTCAATACGAGTAAGGAATAGGGAAATTTTTAGAGATCAGAATGGCTTAGCTTAAGAGCTGTTATTTAATGCAGTTGGTTTGCACATTCTTTGAGTCCCAGGATCTTTGAGAATCTGACGAATACTGTTTTCCTTTAAAAAAAAAAAGTACATGTGCATAGTCACATAATTTTGAGTATTATTTGATGACATTCTTACATTTCTTGAGTAACAATGGTAAAGCAGCAAGAGCACCAACTAACATTTATTGAGGTTTTGTGTTATGCCACCTAACGACTTTACTTTACAATTTTGTTTTACATTTAAAACTATTTTATTTTGTTTTATAATATAGTTCGATAGGCTCTGGGGTTACCCGTACCATTCCCCAAGGTCGTCCCCCAATTGATTTCCCCTGTAGGTTTACAATGGATGTCCTTCATGAACAGTCACAAGTCCATCATGCTGTTATTGAAGTGTTCCCCAACAATATAGGCATGGCCATTGTCAGAATCCATCATCTTACTGTTAGGGTATTTGCAATTCTTTCCCTGGGAGTCCATCTCTGGTCTGTATGCACAGAGACACACAGCACTTTGTCTCCATATCTGAACATATCAGTCCCTGCTACACTTCCATTATATGTCCCCTAAAATACAGAACCAGTGAGCAAAGTCCACAAGAGTAAAAATAAATTTTCATCAACATGTAGTTAACAAACTTTTGCTACAAAAATGAAAATGCATCACGAGAGTGGTGAAAATGGGAGTCAAAAACCTGTAGACCTACTTGAGATTATAAATATCCATTTCAACACTGTTTTGCTACATATCATGAGTAATGAAGGTCTAGCTTTTACTTGTAATTCCTTCAGTGCCACAAGGGTCAAATACAATCATTTTATTCTAATGTCTTCCGAAATTCTAAAAGCTCCCATGAAAATAATAGCACTCAATGAATGTGGTGAGGCACGGTTGTTAGGACTTGTACTTACTCAGTCTATCTTTTGAAACTGCCCAGGTTCTTTTCCACTTTGCTGTCCTGCTCCTGGGACCTCTACTGTAACATATTGTCTCTGGTGTAAACCCATCTTCTGGCTGCCCTTCTCATTCTGTTATGGATTTCCTGGAGTTTGTGCAGTCATGTTTGGTCTTTTAACCTCTGCTGTTGCTCACACTAGTAGAGCATTCTAGTTACTTCTTCACTTGATCTTAGCCAAAAGGCTGAGAAGCGATCTAGTTACTTCTGAATCCACATTCCAGGTATCTTCTTTGTGGTACTCAGTTTCTCCATCACTCCTACTCCTCTTCTCCCGCCTAGCATTGTTTCATCCTCTTCTGAGGACCCAGTAGAAGGCAACCTGTGGTTTCAAGATTCTGTCTTTGGTTGTTGATTCCAATGAACTAAGCAGGCCTTTGCAGGTACTTTCCCAGATACCCGTAGCTAACATACACTGCATGCAGCTGTCTTCTGATATTCTTATGGGCCATGAAAAGCCTTTCTGCCACAAAAACTAGACTGATGGAGGAACGATCGATTTAACCTGTGTTGGAAAATAATTTTGGTTTTCCACCCACTCTGCACAGAACACTTTGTTTTCACATAAATACTGTGTATTTTCAAAAACGTCACTTGCACGCTAATAGGATACCGTTACAAGGAATAAAGGATGATATGTTTCTGCTTTCTTCTCTTCCCGTCCCTTTGGCAGCCGATAGGAGCTCTGAATCCCAAAAGAGCAGCGTTCTTTGCTGAGCGTTATGAATCCTGGGAAGACGATCAAGTTCCAAAGTTCCACTATGGGACTCACTACTCCACAGCAAGCTTTGTTCTTGCATGGCTGCTGAGAATAGTAAGTTCTGTTGGAATAATAAGTCATGCCTACATGTACTTAGTGTTGTAGAGAATATGAGAACTCCTCATTGTGGGTTTTTTTTCGGGGGTGGCGATGCTACAAGGCTTCTTCAGTGACTGGGGTTCTAGTTGCAAGGACCTGGATGCTTCGTTCAGTTCGGATTTTATAACATAGTACTACAGAATTGCCTTAAAAATATGTTAGCTCAAGTTCTGCAGATTTTTTTCCCCTTCAATTTGCCTCTTCAAATGGATATGTTATCAGAATCTAAATTGCAGCAGATTCTTTTCAAATGTAATCTGTTAAAAACTAAAGTTTCATTAGCATGATACAGTGTTTGTATATTTTGGAAACTTCAGTAGCCTCAAATAGCCTAAACTCTGTTTGTAGGTAACCCATGCCACTGGGTATTGATAATATATTGGTCAAACAAGCAATGTTTCTATAAAATGGAAAGGTGATTCATCTGCTAGAAAGTAATTTCTTTGGGAAAGCATTAGCAGCACATCATTAATTAAAGCTTGTTAGAAGGGTACAGCCAGACATAAATCCTACAAGTAATTTATAGTGCTTGGCTAATTTCAAGCAATTATCCACTAATACGTGTTTAAGTGTTCTTTAACTAAGAGGAGGCTTTTAAATCTTCCAAACGTTTTTCTTTTCTTAATCATAAATTAAATATTGATCCATAACAAAAGGAAAATCACGTATTGAGCAATTTTCCCGTACTAAAGAAAATGCACGCCATTTACGTCTTATGTTATTCAGAGTTTTCTGAAAGTGAGAAAATTGGAAGAAAATGCTGCAAATAATAAATTTTAAAAATGCTTTAACATACTTCTTCTGAAACAAAAATAATGTAAGAACGTGAATGTAAAGCACTTTTGATGCTTGTTAATTATTAAAATTTTTAGATGCCAACATTTATAACAGGCCACCTCTTTGTGCATGAAGGAAGATATGAACTTACTTGCTTATTTTTTTAGGAACCGTTTACGACGTATTTCCTAAATTTGCAAGGAGGCAAATTTGATCATGCAGATCGGACTTTTTCATCAGTTTCCAGAGCTTGGCGAAACAGTCAGCGTGACACGTCGGATATTAAGGTGCGGAAATAATGCATTTTGCAGTTGTTCTTGCCAGGGTGTTGCTTGCTGAGTGAATATTGAACATTTTCTCCTCACTCCCTGTGCATCGGTGGGATGAGACCTCAGTGAAGTGGTCGGGAACTGCCGTGTTGAAAATGTCTCTAGTTTTCTTCTGTGTGTATCTTTGCCTGTCTTTCGTTCTTTTGTATCTCAGTTTATCTGCCTGGCTATGACCCTAGTTGTGGATTTTTTTTTTTTTTGCTCTCCCCCCTGGCATCTTCTGTTGAAGGAGGCATGTAGTGTGGTTTTAAGGCGCAGAAGGCAGTGTGCTCAATGGAATAATAGAATTCCAAATTCAATGAGTAAAGTTACTGTGATCTCACATTTCCACAATTAAAATAATCATTTTTTTACCTGCTGGTTGTACTAAATGTGTATCTGACTCTTCTTAATGTCAGATTATGTTATTAGTAATCAAGAGCAGAGGTTGCTTCATCTGTATGCAATTATACCACCATGCAAGACGAAGCCCCCTGGCCATCAGCTGGTACAGGCCTCGCTGTGCTTTCCTTGACAGAGTGTCTATTTCTATATGATACCATGCTAGATGTACTATAGCGAAATGCACCCATGATTTCGAAGCTCTTTATAGCATCATGAAATGATGTGCCTTATACATAGATTACCTAAAAGAAAATAATAAGTGCTTTATGAGAAATATTCAAAGTATGAGAAGTTACATTATTGATGTGTATATTATGATATACTAGCTTAACCATTTTCAGTATAATGATAATTGCATCTTACATTTAGATATATTTTACAGTCTAAAAATGTATTCATATACTTTATTAAAGTAAAATACAACTCATATCCAAGATGTTTTCTGAAGAAAGTATCATTCAACAGAGAAATACTCTTTTTTTTTTATTTTGACAATCTTTACATATTTAATTGGGGTAAAAAAAAGGTTCAAGGCCTAAAGGGGGATATAGAGGAAGAAGCCCCACCCAGTTTCCCACCCACCCTAAGTCCCAGATGTGGGGCATGCTCTGAGATACTCGATCAAGTGGTTCCAATAGTTCACCATTCATGGGTCACTGCCAGTCTCGCCACTCCAAACTTGATGTGTTCGTTGAAGAGTCCATTGATTGACACAGTCCCTTCTAGAGTCTCCATTTGCCCAGTTTTTTGCTGCCAACAGATAGCTGAGGTTGTTGCTTGACTTGTTCTGTCTTTTCTTGGTTAGGACTCTGAGTCTGGTTTCTCGACTGGGGAGATCCTCAAAGAAATTTTGAGGTATTCCCAGTCCAGATCCCTGCATATTCTAGTAGCATAGGGTCCGGCACAGTCCATTGCCCCGATCAGCTGGTGGTTGCAGTTGCTGGGTCGGTTCTGTCTCCACCCGTGTCCTCTTGTAGTCCAGCCTGGTTCCGCCCTGGACACACTTGGCCCTCACACGTACCAGTAGGAGCTGCAGCCCAGTCAGGGCGGCCCACAGTAACCCCAACCAGGCCCACCCCCTACCCTGGCTTGCCAATATGTATGGCATACTAGTCCAGTCTGTCCCAAATACCCTTCTGTTCATATACTTGCCAACGGGTGTTGCACCCTACTTCCATCCAACCATCTCATCCAACCGGCCCTAACAGATGTTGTTGGGTGTCTGTCTAGCCACCCCAGCCCCTGTCCTAGTTCCCATGCCCTCCTGTGGAAGGTGATGACCCAAGAGGGAGGAACCCACTATTTCCCCTCCCAGGTCGCTCCCATTCCAGTTGTGCCCTCTCCAGTTGGCCCTGTGGTTCAACTCGACATGTCTAACCCTTTGTACCAGCTTCCGCCAGCTGATGCTATGACCAAGCCCCAACAACCCTCACCTACTCTGATTGTAGCTTGCACCAGTGGGAATAGTCAGCCCAGCCTGGCTTTCACCCAGTCTGGTCCACATGAGGTGCACAGGTGCTGTGTCCCTGCCTGGTCTGGTCTACCCCCTACCCAGCTCACGCTCCTCAGTGTAAGTTGCTGTTCAGCTAGGGAACCACCCCTTATTCCCCTGTCAGCTCTGCCTCCTCCCTTCCTGGTTCTCACGTGTGCTGGTTGGGTGCTGCGGCTGCATCCGGCTCAGGCTACCTCACCTTGGCATTCCAAATTGTGTGTTGCTTTTGTCACGACCGGACCTGTTTCGACCCACACTCTGTTCTGGCGTTCGGATTTACCAGTGGATGACATGAACAGATTCAGCCTGGTCTGCTCCCCTGGCCCATGCCAAATGCATGCCAGTGGGACACTTTCCATGACCTCTTGGCTGTTACCTTCCATGTTTCTTGCGCTGACCTGCAGGGTCTGTGTCCTGCCAGAGGAGTTGCCCGAGCTCCTCCATCAGAACCCCTCCATGTGCCAGGTTACGCGCATACCAGTGGGTCCATGTGCCAGTTGGCCTCCTGTCCTAGCAGGAACAGTGGCCTTTCCTAACTGGCCATCATCCCATTCTGGTTCTTGCTGTAGGGTGTTTCAGCCCAGCCACGGTCGTCCACACCCCTATATAGCTCGTATATGGCTCAGTTGAGGTTGTGACCTAGCCTAGTCTGTCCCACATCTACCCTGGTACTCCAACACGTCAGAAGGTGTTGCGGTCTGGCCTGGCCCGGTACGTCTTTTTTCAGTCCACACTTGTGCCAAGGGAGACGACAACTGTATCCAGACCTGACCGCAGCCCCATCCACCTGTCACGACCCCTGCCTTAGACACTGTGGCTCAACTCTGTGCTTAATGTGGACCAGTTGGAGCCAAAACCAAGCTGGGCATGTCCTGAGCTGCACCCTGTGTTCCAATCATGTTTGTGGACTAAGGTTTGCTTACTCTGAATATTCAGGTCTCAGTCCCACACTTGCATTAAGGTTTCATGTCCCGGGTCCTGGGAATCACCAGAAATTAGTGTGTCACCTATGCTAACACTGGTCTTACTTATGGGTGTCCCTAAGCAGCTATTTCATATCATCAAAACCCCAGAGCTCGCCGCTGGGTGGCCAGCGGGCAGAGCCTGGCACCACTTGGTGCACTGGCCGCCCAAGGCCGGGGTCTCTGTCCCCACCTTGCGGCGGGGACTGTGGCCGAGACCCCGGCAGGGTTCTGTCCGGCAGGGGCGCCCCCAACAAGTGCCACCTTGATGGGGGGTTAAGCCTGCCCCTTGTCCTGAGACTGGACCCACCCAACCTGTCCTGCCGCCAGCTTTTGGCTGGCGACGGCAGGGGAGAGCTAGGAATTTACCCCCAGCTCCCAGCCATCTCCCGCGGATACTCACCCACGAGGGAGGCTTTAGTTGCTCCTGGCCAGGAGAAGGCCGGGGTCTCTGTCCCCGCCTTGTGGCAGGGACTGTGGGAAATAACCTTTTAGGCTGAAATATCTATCAGGATTTTTTTATCGTAAAATAATGTACTTTTTAAAAAGATTTATTTTTATTGGAAATAGAAGAGGAGAGACAGGAAGATCTTCTGCCCACTGATTCACTTTCCAGGTGGCAGTAACAGTAGGGGAGCTGAGCCGATACTAAGTCAGGATCCCTGAGCCTTCTCTGGCCCCCGACGTGAGTGCAGGGCCCCAAGGCTCCCGGCTGTCCTCTACTGCTTTCTCAGGCCACAAAGCAGGGAACAAGAAGGGAAGTGAAACAACATGTGATACAAACCAGCACCCATATGGGATCCTGAGTGGGCAAGGCAAGGACTTTAGCCACTAAGCTACTGCACTGGACCCTTTATCACAAACGAATGTACTCTTAAAACTATACCTTACTGTCTTCCTCTCTGCCTCTCCTTCTGTCTATAAATCTGCCTTTCAAGAAAAAAGCAATAAATTTTAAAAAGAGGAAGGTGGCATGGGGAGGCCGGTGCAATGGCCTAGTGACTAAATGCACACTTGCACACATCGGAAGCCACATGAATGTCGGTTTGTGTGCCATCTGCTCCACTTCCCATCCAGCTCCCTGCTGGTGGCCTGGGAGAGCAGTCGAGAATGGCCCAAATTCTTGGGACCCTGCACCTGTGTGGGACACTCATAAGAAGTTCCTGGCTGCTGGCTTCAGATCAGCACAGCACCTGTCATTGCAGCCACTTGGGGAGTGAATCGACAAACAGATCTTTCTCTTTTTCTCTCCTTCTCTGTAAATCTGCTTTTCTGAGAAAAATAAATAAACTTTAAAAAAATATTTAAAAAGAAAAAAAAGCTTCTGGATATTCTAGTCTTGATTATGAAGATGCTGGTTACCAGACTGCAGAACTTGTTAAAATGGATATTCTGTTGAATGGAAATCTTGTGGAGGAGCTAGTGATGGTGGTACACAACGTGAAACCCTATAGAAAAAACATTTTGGCAAAATGTTATGGTGGTGATATTACCCGAAAAATGAAACTTTTAAGGAGACAAGCAGAAGGAAAGAAAAAATTGAGGAAAATTGGCAACATTGAAGTTCCAAAAGATGCTTTTATAAAAGTTCTGAAAACACAACCTGATAAGTAATAAGTGGGAAACAAATCAAAGATTTCTTATAAATTAAGAAAAAAAAAAGCTATACCATACTATATAGGAAGTATCAGGAAATATTTTGAAACGGAAAAGTAAATGAACAGAAATTTGAATAGGAACGAGATTTAATAATTGCTATTGAAATCTATCTGTTCTGAAGATCGTTGTATTTCTTAATTAACTCTTGAGAAACAAAAAGTGCTGTGGATACAGGGGCCAGCACAGTGGCATAGCAAGCTAATTCTCCACCTGTGGTGCCACTGTCACATATGGACACTGGTTCATGTCCTGGCTGCTTCACTTCTGATCCAGCTCCTTGCTAATGGCCTGGAAAAGCAGCAGCGGGTAGCCCAAGATCTTGAGCCCCTGCACCCATGTGGGAGAACAGGAAGAAGCTCCTGGCTCCCGGCTTCAGACTGGTCAGTAGCAGCCATTTGGGGAGTGAACCAGTTTCTCTCTCTGTCCATTTCTCTCTCTTAATTCTGACTTTCCAGTGATAT